GGGATTGTGTCCTAGTTGGGAATCTGTTGGGGTCTGTTTCTGTGTAGAAATTGGCTTGGAAACTAGGCAGTCTCTCCTGTCTATACTCCTGACCTCTATACTGTACTTCCTGTTGAGGCCAGTGAGAGGAAAGAGATCCAAGTACGAAGGCCGCCATCTTGGCCTGCATGTGTGTGAGAGGCACTGAGAGACATGGAGCCAGAGAGAAGGGGCTCCTTTCTTACTAATCCCAACTCTGCATCTGGCTGTCACTTCCCCTTGGTACCTTCACTCCTGCTTGACCTCACTGTTCATTTTCAGTTGTTCTGTAGAAAAGAAAGGGAAGGGCTTTCATCAAACTGTCTCCTGCCCTTCCCAGTTACAGAGTCTTGCATACTTGCATTAATGCTCAAGAATGCAGTCACCCTGCTTCTGGCAACCACTCCAGGGCTCACCAGGGACACTGACTGATAGACCAGCATGGATAGACTCCAAGACAAGGATCCAAGTGCAAGCAGTTGACTTGGGCAGCAAAAGAAACACTGGTAGGAGAAAGAGGAAGCAAGTAGAGAAAGAAAGGCAGTCAGCAAAGATTATCTTAGCTAGTATAACAGCTCTAGCCCGCTGGAAAAGCTCCCAGAGCCCACGTGGAACACACACTCGAGGGATGAGGGAGCGGGGCCGCACACAGCCACTCCCATCAACTGCTGGGTGAGGACTTCTGAAACAGCTGTGGTCATTTCCCATCCTGTGGGCCCTCTTTATGAGTAGCAAAGCAGGCAGTAGCAGGGAGAGGATGCTCCTGGCCAAAATGCAGGAGGCTGCAGTTGGACGTCAGGCAGGCGTGCCGTGAAGCGGTAAGGACAAGGCAGGGGTTCCCAACCTTTTTTGTGCAGCAGAATCACCAGGTAACACACAAAGCCCTGAGCCCTACTCCCAGAGCTCAGCAGGTGGGGTGCAAGAATTTGCATCTCTAATGAGTTTCCAGGTGCCACTGCTGCTACTGGTCTGGAGCCATTCCTTGAGAACCACTAGGCTCAGGATATAAGTAGGGCACTGACCTTATACCTGGGGGAAATCCAGTACCTAGCACTGGTGGAGCTTAGAGACAAAGCCAAAGAAGTGAGCTACACTTCTGCTTTGCCCTCTGCAAGAAAACTCTCCCACTCAAAGCCTGTGTGAGAGAGTCACATGGCAATAGACTTTGCACCATGCATCGGACTTCTCTGCACTTTCTATGGCCAAGTCCCATCCTGTGAGACCCATTCTGCTATTTTTCTTTGGATATGACCTGACAAACTTAGGTCCTTGGGGCAAAGAGCACAAACAAACAAATAATTCTGAAGGGATCCAGCTTTTGGCTATCCAAGTCAAATCCAGCTATAGATAAGCCAAGCTCAGGAAGTTGCTCCTCCTGATCTGATGGCTCTCCTGCCAGGCCTCAGTCAGAATCCTGATGTAGCGACCTTGAGATCTTCCTCTTCTAATCTGGCAAGGGCAAATCCTCTAGAAGATACCCCTAAAACCATTCTTTTATCACCTGACACTCATTCAGTTTTGTGGTCATCGGAAAAACAACAGATTCCGTCCTTTGCTGTTTATTTACAATAAAAGCACATGCTTGCAGGAAATAGGGAATCCTAAACAGAAAGTGATGCTTATGTCACAATACTAAATTTCCACTTGAAACCTACACCATCGGTTTCACAATACAAAAACCACTCGTGACCTCTTAAGAGATTAGCTGGAAAAGGCAGGAAGACAGAGATAACAAATTTACCCTTCACGGGAGCAGAGGCATCCTCATTTATCTTTTACAGCAATCACCCCTAGCAAAGAGTACGACAAAGCCACAGCCACACACTTCCATTTTGAGACGAGGTCACAGCCACAAAAGCCAAGGTATTAGGCCTCGGAGCACTGCAGCTTTCTGTACCTGCCCGGTTCAGGAGGTCAGTCACTACGGAATGTTGAGGTTAACACTTCTTAGGAGGCTCTGTAATTATCTGCAGTTCAGAGCTTCGTGGTGAGGTAAAGAAGAGCTTCTCCCTTTCACAAATCAGAACATTTTTCCAGCTTTCCCAATGGGTTGCCAAGTGACTCAGCACTGGCCCAGTGTGGGCACTATTATTGATGAGAAATCTTCCGCCTGGGTGATATAGTGTATACAACACATGCCCAGAGAACAGTGCCAAGTCATACCAGAAAGAGCAGGCGAGTTATTCACCTCCACTTCAAATGCAGGCAAATCCTTTCTTAATGCAGGGGCTACTTCGTATCAGAAAGACGAAGCCCTAAGATAGGGAAAGATTTCCAACTAAGATTCAAGGAATTATTAGGCAGAGCCTCTCCTTTCTTGTTGACTATTAAAAGGCAATCAAATCGAGGACAGCAGAGGAAAAGGGCAAGAAAAAAATTTTTTTCAAAAACAACCCCGGAGTAGAAAGCTGCATAAAAGCTTTCAATGCCGCAAGTGTTCTTTGAGTAGCACGAGCTCCACCCAGAGGTCATTTTCAGAACTGCATGTTCATTTAATGTTGAAGAAAATTTACATCTTCTGGGGTCCAGGGAAGGACTCACTTCAGAGAACTGCTGAAATCACTTGGACAACATTCCTCGTTCTTGCCTTTCATTAAAGAAACTTCTCTGAACTCTGAAATGCAAGATATAGTGGGGGAACCTTGTGAGAGCCAATTTGCCTTTGATATTTGTACCTGTCGTAGAACTAGCAGAGTTCCTGGCAGGTTGAACTCAGCTCAAAGAAAGCAGCGTGTTCAAAGAGCACTTTTAGAAGAAAAACTGACAGCTCTCATTGAAATAAAATAGAAGACTGGAGAGCAACTCGGGAGGCAAACAGGAACATGTCTAATATTAGAAGGACTGAGAATAGTCCTGCTTCAAGAAGGACCCATGGGCCACTTGCCTAGAAGGCCCAACTGTGAGGCACCCACTCCCTTATGCAACTCAGAAAAGCTCCCTGAGGCAACTGCAATCCACACTGCTCAAAGAACTGACTGCACTTCCCAGAACATTCCCCTGGCTTCCAGCTATTCATAACACATTACCCCCAACACGCATACATACGCACCCTCCACCCCACCCTCCACCTTGGTGGTCCTGTACTAATTCATGCAAGCATCTCTTCAGTCCATGTGGGGTCAGGCTAGGATAAAGCCCTTAATACGCTAAGCGCTCGATTGCCCAGGGCAAGACGCATCCTGTTCCACATATCACAAGCTAGCTCAGCAAATAAATGAAGCCTTCATAAAACGACAATATGTTGGTGTTGAAAGTTGTCTACCATCTGGAGAGTTTCCCATCACAGCCCATGTGCTCTTGCCTTCATCAGCTTGTGCCTTACGTGACTGAAGACAGCTTTGACAGATTTTTGACAGGGAAAGAAATCAGACTTACCCTTTGTCTTCCTTCCACGCTGCTTTGCCACCCACCATCCCGTTCTTGCTTCAGCATAAACACTGAACAAACAGCCTTTTCACATCTATTGACAAAAGTATCTATGGTGATGTTTATCCATCTCCAGTACCATCAGTTTAAAGCGCTAGAAAATATCCTCGCTAAACCTCTGCATGTTCTCATTTCAACAAGGTTAAGCATTCCCAGAACGCTGCCCCGCTTTGTTTCCTGACCATAACTCAAAAATATTTGTGCTCAGTGTGACTCGATATGACTCTAAGCAGTGTTTCCCCAAACCTGCCTGGTGATAACAATCACCCACCCGGAGACTGGCTAAAGTGACACGTTTAGCCTGCATCCGTGATCCATTAACCCAGGCCTTGCTGGGAAGGGGCCCAGAAAGCCAGAGCATCCAGGCAACCCAGGTCATTGCTATAATCAGGAAGCTTTCAAACATCTCTCTAGATACAAGAAATGCTCCTAATTTCAGAATCTCTCAGCTGCAGAGTAGCATCCGTCAAGAGTCTAGCAGGTGCACCCTACCCACTTGAGCTCCAGCTCTATCAGAATCTCTCAAATATAAGATGGGTCCCTTTATTTCATTTTTTAATTTATTATTATTTCTTATTTTTTTAAACTGAGTCTCGCTCTGTCACCCAGACTGGAGTGCAGTGACCCAGTCTCAGCTCACTACAACATCTGCCTCCTGGGTTCAAGCGATTCTCCTGCCTCAGCTTCCTGATTAGCTGGGACTACAGACACGTGCCACCATGTCCATCTAATTTTTTTTTGTATCTTTAGTAAAGATGGGGTTTCACTATGTTGGCCAGGCTGGTCTCAAACTCCTGACCTCAAGTTATCTGCCTACCTGCTTCAGCCTCCCAAAGTGCTGGGATTATAGGCGTGACCCACCACACCCAGCCCATTTTTTACTTTTAAACAGCATGGCTGTCAATACTTTTCTCCTTTATTCCCTTATCATGTTGCATAGCATGAGAACATTTAACAAGGCCCAGCAAGTGTCTACTTCTATTAGGAAATACTTTTGCAGTCCTAAGCAATGGTAGAACACTGGTCTGTGATTTATAAGTACACTATTTGGGTCATTTATGGCAAATGATGGGTCAGGAAGGAAATCTGCTTGGTTACAGGAAAGGATTTGCCCCAGGACATTTGCATGCATCATGCACAGAACAGAAGGATATGTGGCCAATATGGGTTTTCTTCTTCTTGGTGTCTTAGGGGCTCTTCTTCCAGCTGCTCCCTGTGACTCCCCACTGCTCTGCATTCTGCCATATCCAGTGAAGGTTTATAACACAATTCACCAGGCAGCAAGCCATGTGCCTCTTACAGACAGCAGTTAGGAGAGAAGGCCAAAATGCAAGGTATTTGGAAATGCAGTTAGAGAAATTCAGATCTTATTTTCTCTTACCTCCTGGTGAAAAAAAAAAAAACAATCTATGTAGTCATCAAAAAGCAGACAGCTAACTGTGGGGTCATTCCGAGTCAACAGTTCAGTCAATATAAAAACCAACCAGACAGTCAATGTCAAGCATGAAAATCCATTAAGCTAAAAGTCTTATTTTTTCATCAAAAGGAATCCTTACCTTTTCTTTGGCTTTCCTTTTCGTCCCTGCATCCATCCACTCATTTTCTTTCTCTAGCATGTCAATAAAGGCCCAGCGAACGCCCTCAATCAGTTCCTCCATCTACAAAAAAATACCCAAAGAGGGAAACATCAAAGCCAAGAAGCTTCAGCCAATGTTTTCTGGAAGAAAAATCAGCTTGCATGAGAAATGACTCAATACTCAACATGGTAGTAAGGGGTTCTTTCAGCTTGACTCCACACTCTGGCAATACTTCTTTTTCCAGGAAAATTCCCTTTTTTCCACCACTAAAAGATGACTAGCCAGGCCCAGCATGGTGGCTCATGCCTGTAATCCCAACACTTTGGGAGGCCAAGGCAGGCGGGTCGCTTGAGCCCAGGAGTTTGAGACCAGAATGGGCAACATGGTGAAACGCCATCCCTACAAAAAATATAAAAAATAGCTGGGCATGGTGGCTCACTCCTGCAACCCCAGGACTTTGGGAGGCTGAGGTGAGCAGATCGCTTGAGCCCAGGAGTTCAAGACCAACATGGGCAACATGGCAAAACCCCACCTGTGCAACAAATATAAAAATTAGCTGCGTGTGGTGGTGAATGCCTGTAGTCTCAGCTACTCAGGAAGCTGAGGTGGAAGGATTGCTTGAGCCCAGGAGGTGGAGGCTGCAGTGAGCCATGACTACACCACTGCATTCCAGCCTGGGAAACACACCAAGACCCTGTCTCCAAAAAAAAAAAAAACAAAAAAAGGATAACTATTTCTTTCCATGAGAACAATGTGATGGCCCAGCTGTAAAATGATAGGAATTCACCACAGATGATGACAAACTGATAACTTACCTGTCTGTAGCTACTCAATTAGTTCATCCTTATCAAAGTACCAACTAATTTTAATCATTTCATAAAGGACTGAGACAGACAGGCAAAGGCGTGGGCTGTGCATTTCAGACAGGTATTGCAGAAGAAAGTGAACAAACGGTTGAAAGAGATAACTTAACAGAGAAACAGGCAAGGAGAGTCAGCACCCCAAAGGACACTTCACCAGTATGAATCACCAGTATGTCAGGATCCCAGTTCTTTCCAAATGTAGTCCCATGGGTGACACCAAATGTTCAACTGTTCTATATCATCTGCCTGTCATCTTCCTACTCTCTCCTTCTTGGCAGCTCAGAAAAGTCTTATTATTTGAAATCTAAAAGGGTAGGTCTAGGCCAGGGGCAGTGGCTCACCCCTGTAATCTCAGGAATTTGGGAGGCCAAAGTGAGAGGATCGCTTGAGGCCAGGAGTTCAAGACCAGCCTGGGCAACACAAGGAGACCTCATCTCTATAAAAACAAAATTATAGACCAAGTGCAGTAGCTCACGCCTGTAATCCCAGAACTTTGGGAGGCCAAGTTGGGTGGATCACCTGAGGTCGGGAGTTCAAGACCAGCCTGACCAACATGGAGAAACCACACTCTACTAAAAATACAAAATTAGCTGTACATGGTGGCACATGCCTATAATCCCAGCTACTTGGGAGGCTGAGGCAGGAGAATTGCTTGAACCTGGGAGGCGGAGGTTGCGGTGAGCCAAGATCGTGTCATTGCACTCCAGACTGGGCAACAAAAGTGAAACTCCATCTCAAAAAATTACACACACACACACACACACACACACATTTCGAGACAGAGTCTTGCTCTGTTGCCAGGCACCAGGCTGGAGTGCAGTGGCACAATCTCGGCTCACTGCAACCTCTGCCTCCTGGTTTCAAGCAATTCTCCTGCCTCAGCTTCCCGAGTAGCTGGGACCACAGGTGTGCATTACCATGCCCAGCTAATTTTTGTATTTTTTAGTAGAGATGGGGCTTCACTATTGTCTTGATCTCTTGACCTCGTAATCCACCCGCCTCGGCCTCCCAAAGTGCTGGGATTACTGGCCACCGTGCCCAGCCACATATATTTTTTTAAAAGGCCAGGCATGGTAGTGCCTGCACCTGTAGTCCCAGCTACTCAGGAGGTTGAGGCAGAAAGATCGCTTGAGCTCAGGATTTGAGGTTGCAGTGAGCTACGATCACACCACTGTACTTCGGCCTGGGTGACGGAGTGAGACCTTGTCTCTAAAAATGTAATAAAATAAAATGGTGGGTCTAAAGGGGGCTGCTATAGAAAGGTGGTCTTCCGAAAGATCTATCGCAAAGCATTTCAACAGTGAGGCCACACCCATAGTTAGGATGTGTGCGCCTTGGCTTTGCTACCAGTGCCTGGAGACCAGAAGAGAGGACTGGAGGAAAGGAGCTGCTGACATGTCACATTAGAGGCCACCTGCAGCAATGTGACGAGGCCCTGCCTGTTCATGGATACAAACCCCTGGAAATCTAGTTCTCCTGCAGAGATGCGTTGGCTTTCTCAATGGGACACCCAGGAAAGAAAAAATACTGGGTTTGGCCCCAGAACGAACTTTTCATTTGAGAGTATGGGGTTGTAAATCAATGTGAACATTAATTCTAGAAGAAAAGACATTGAAATGTTTCCTTGGTTCTATAATAAATTGTCAGCATGAAGCTCAAAATAATTTTTATTCTGTTTAATAAGTTTTCAGCTATGTTTCCAGTTCAATAACAGTTGTGAGGGAACCAGAGCTGTAAATCAGTGGGCTGGGTTCCATCATACGTAAATAAGAACAAACAGCAGATGGAAGGGGGTCGGGGAGCTTCACAGCTATTTCTTTCCAACTTGGTAAAAACATTAAAAGAAGAGAAACTTCGACTTGGGATAAAACACAAACTGTTAGAAGAGCAAAGCGTCCTTTAAAAATCATTAAGTCAAGGGCCGGGTGCAGTGGCTCACACCTGTAATCCCAGCCCTTTGGGAGGCTGAGGCAGGCAGATCATGAGGTCAAGAGATCGAGATCAGCCTGGCCAACATGGTAAAACCCCATCTCTACTAAAAATACAAAAATTAGCCAGGTGTGGTGGCAGGTGCCTGTAGGCCCAGATACTCAGGAGGCTGAAGCAGGAGAACTGCTTGAACCCGGGAGGCGGAGGCTGCAGTGAGCGGAGATCACGCAACTGCACTCCACTCCAGCCTGGTGACAGAGCGAGACTCTGTCTCAAAAAAAAAAAAAAAAAAAATCATTAAGTCAGTGGTTCTTAACCTTGTCTGCCCATTAGGATCTCTGGAGGAACTTTAAAAAATACTGATAAAATATTTCTAAATAAAATTAGAAGTCCTGAGGCCTGGGCATTGGGATGCTAGTGTCATTGTTCTAAGGTCCAGCCTGGGCATTGGGAGGGTTTAAAAAGTTCCCCAGGTCATTCTAACATGCAACCCACTGGACCAGGGGAAACCACTTATTTGACAGATAAGGAAATTAAGGGTCAAGGAGTCTGTGATCTGCTCAAGCTCATGCAGCTATAAGGTGGACCAGAACCAGGACCTGAGCAAAGAGCTAAAATAACAGAGAGCTCAGAGCCTTCGTAGCAACAGAGGATCACCCACAAAATCAGAGGAAAATGCCAGGGGGTGAAAGGGAGTCAACTTAGAGATGCAGAAGTCACCACTTCAAACAGAAAACCCACATCAGGAGGATGTTAAAACGACAAGGAAATCTCTGGGGACTTAGATTTTTTGCCTGTGAGCATGTTTCACTGGTTTTTATTTTTGTTTTTGTTTTTGAGATGGAGTCTCGCTCTGTCACCCAGGCTAGAGTGCAGTGGTGCAATCTCGGCTCACTGCTCACTGCAACCTCCACCTCCTGGGTTCAAGCGATTCTCCTGCCTCAGCCTCCTGAGTAGCTGGGATCACTAATGCACACCACCACGTCCAGCTAATTTTTGTGTATTTTTAGTAGCAATGGGATTTCACCATGTTGCTCAGGCTGATCTCAAACTTTCAAACTCAGGTGATCCACCTACCTCGGCCTCCCAAAGTGCTGAGATTACAGGCATGAGGCACCACACCTGGCCCTAAGTCTTTAGGACTTCATGTAGCATTATGCATTGGCTGGCCCATCACCTTCACAGGGAAAAAGAAATAAGGTCTTCCCAAATTAGGGAGGGACAATGGGGAGGGAAAGAAGTGGATGGACTGAAAGGAGAGAGTTATGGACCAAACCAATGGAAACAGGTGATTCATTCTACGTGAGAAAGTGGGGAGAGTCAGATTAATTCCTAGGCTTCAGAAAGGAATGGGCAACCACCACCATTCAATAAGTCTAAGAAAGTCAGAAGAGAAAGAGGGATGGGAACAGAAACCAAACTACTGGGATGAAGAGTATATGGGAAGTGAAGACAGCAAGTCTGGACAAAGTAATTGAGTGTGTCAATGTAGGAGAAAAAGCAAACAGAGAAGAAGATGTAGGGTTGAGAGAAGGGTCTGAGGGTTTGGAGTCTGGGTTTCATGCATATGCTTGCTAATACTACTCCTACTATTTTTGTTGCTGTTGTTGAACAGCTGAGAGATTTGACGACGTTTAAATACCAGTAGAAAGGATCCACTGAAAAGGAAGAGACTGAAAATATCGGACACAGAAAGCCATGAGTGGGGTCTAAGAGGGCAAAGGAGGCAATGGGATCCAGAGAATATACGGAAGGATTCGCCTTAGATATGAGACAGACTCAGGAGCAGAGAGAAGGCTAAAATGATAGGCAGGCATGCAAGAGGAGCTACAGATTAGAAGTAGACGGTTGAGAGAGTCCTAGTATAAAGGTGGGTCTTTTTTCCATGAAATAGGATTGAGACCTTCTGCTAAAAGGGACATTTCTCTAAAAAGTGATATTTCTTCACACATGGCTATATGCATCCTGGCAGCATGAACATATTACTAAGAAGAGAGGTACAGTAGTACCCCCTTATTCAGGATTTTGCTTTCCATAGTTTCAGTTACCTGTGGGCAACTGTGGTCTGAAAATACTAAATAGAAAATTGCAGAAATAAATAATTCACATGTTTTCAATTGCACACCATTCTGATTAGTGTGGCGAAGTTTCACGCCATCCCAATCTTTCTGGCCCGGGACGTCAATCACCCCTCCACTTGTCCAGTATCTCCACCCTGTATATGCCCACCCAACAGTCACTTATTAGCTATCTTGGTTAGCAGACAGATCATAAGAAGTACAAGCATGA